GAGGGAGTGAGTGGAAGAGAGAGGGAAAGACAAAGAAAAATATTGATGAGAGAAACACATGGATTGGTTGCCTCCTGCATGCGTCCCAACCAGGGTTTGGGCTGGGGACGAGCCCGCAATTGAGGCCTGTGCCCTTGACAAAATCAAACTCAGGACTTCTCAGTCTGCAGGCCAATGCTCTATCAACTGAGCCAAAATGACTAAGCCTCCAGGTTTAATTTTTAAATGATGAAATTTTTAGGGGTGGTGGTAAATGGGATTTCAAATAAATAAAATGGAGTCATGTGGATTAAATATGACTTTGGGGGGAATAAAAGGCTTGGTAACAGAAGGGAACCAGAAGTGGGAGTGATGGTTAAGATCACAGTTAGGCTGACCACTTACTAGGGTTCAGGTTGAAGGGCTCTGAGAAGACACCCAGAGAGAAAGTAGTATGGTCTTGCATTTGGGGGAACTCTGGTAGGGGGAGGAACTGTCCTGAGATTTCTACACCTTCCCTGACTGGAGCTCACTGTAGATGAAAGGACCTGAGAAGGGATCCTCAGACCTGTGGACTCTCAGCATTTTGAGGACTCCATTAATAAGAATCTAAGCATGTACCCTACATACTCCATGTTTTTATTTAGAAGTTATATACAAGCCCTCCTGCACTAATATACCATGAGCACCATAAGAGAGGAAGAATCAACTTAAAAAGAATAATGTAAAAGAAACAGCAGCTCTACTATTTTCATCCCCCATACAACTAAGTAGGTCACCTTGTCTGTCCCTTTGTTCTCTGCCCCTGTCCTGAGTCTGTGCAGCAGGCCCCTTATCTGCGAGGGATATTTCCAGACCCCTAGTGGATGCCTGAAACTGTGTGTGGTGCTGAGACTTATATACTAATATTATGTTTATTTTCTCTACATACATACCTATGATAAAGTTCATTTACAAATCAGGCATAGTAAGAAGGTAACAACAACAACTAATTATAAAATGGAACAAATACTTTAGTACATTGTAATAAAAGTTATGTGAATGTGTTCTCTCTCTTTCCCAAAATATCTTGTACTATACTCAAACTTTTCTTTTTAAAAAAATATTTTATTGATTTTTTTTACAGAGAGGAAGGGAGGGAGAGTTAGAAACATCAATCAGCTGCCTCCTGCACACCTTCTACTAGGGATGTGCCTGAAACCAAGTACATGCCCTTGACTGGAATTGAACCTGGGACCTTTCAGTCCGCAGGCCAAACTGGTTAAGGCTATATTCAAACTTGTCATGTAAAAGAAGCACTTTACGGCTTCTCTTTGGCATATCTCAATTGCCAGCATCACTATTCTTACGCTTTGTGGCCATTATTAAGTAAAATAAGGACTTTTCAAACATGGCACTGTCCTGCCTCTGTAGTAGATCTGGTAACTAAGGCAGCTACTAAGTGACTAATGGGCAGGGAGTGTATACAGCATAGGATTCACTAGACAAAGGGATAATTCACCTCCTCATCAGGAGAGAGCAGGGCTGCCTGAGATTTCATCATATCATTAGAATGGCATGCAATTTAAAACCTATAAATTGTTTATGTCTGGGATTTTCCATTTAATATTTTCTGACCGTGGTTGACTCTGGATAGCTGAAACCAGGAAAAGCAGAACTGCGGATAAGGAGGGGTGACTGCATACATAAGGACCAGAGTAACTGCACCCAGTTGAGCATGTTCATGTCTCACGGGCAGCCCATACTTCTCAAATGGTGGTTGATTGAAATGGTTATGATCACAACATCCAGGTAACTTGTTGACTGAGGTGTAGGAGACCTGCCCAATAGCATCAATGAGAAAACTTTGGAAGAATGATATTTTTGTGTTCTAATGTAGAAACTCTGCCTACAAGCTTCACCTCATTTTACTAGACATTTCTGCTCTCCACTTCCAATGTAGAATTATTCCTGGAGTGATGAATTTTTTAGTGCTATTCAAGCTGTCGGGCTAAAGTTAAGTTTTATATCTTGCTTACACCATGAAGACTACAGATTTGACCACATTTTTCAAGAAGTTAAGATTTTCAGGACATTTCCTCTACCTTAAATGGCCAAAGAATTTCACAGCCTTATAGCTTCAGAAATGCAAACTGACAACAGATCCCCACCTCCTTTTAGGTACTTTTTACCATAATGAAGTTCACTTTTTGCACATAGTGATCAGGTGATTTAGTCACACCCTCTCAGATTGAGAAAGGAAGGCCCAGGGAGGGCAAATGACCATGTAGAAAACAGACGAACCAGAGCTGGAGCCCACGGTTCTGATCGTGGACTAGTTCTCTCTACACCACTGTCACCTCTGGGTCTCAGCTCTCCTCTTCAACTGCTTTGGCTTCCGGATAAATGAGTATGTCCCTTGGGTGTGAGTCAGTGGCCGCACTTCCTCAAAGAAGACCTTGGGCACAGACTTGGCCTATCCACCTGGTTCCCTGAACTCTGTACAACACTGTCAACCTGTGAAACACTTGTAAGTCCTCTCTTTTAGGCCCAGTTTCTATAAGTTGGCTAGAGATGCTCAGGGTCTTGATACAGGAAGTAAACTCCCTATAAGAAAGAGTGCACAAGGAATGAAGTAGACTTAGAGTGAGGATGCAGGCCAGCTCAATACCTTGACCATGCCCAACACTCCCCTTGGTAATCCTGTCTTTCTCTCCTTCCTCAGTGTGTCTTCTCCTTCTCATGACCAGGGTGAGAGAGTTGGAGGTGGATGCGTACTGTGGCAAGCCCACAGTACTATGGAGTTTATGAATTCTAAGCAGTACTGAAGTGTTAGAATATGAAGGGTTGGGAAAGAGAGATTTTATAAGGATAAGCAGCGAACTTTCCCAGTGCATGGATGCTCTAGTCTCCTCCCACCTTTGTGTTTTGTCACCATTACTGTCAGCCAGCCATGGTTGACTTATGTGGATATGGATTCAGGCAGGAAAAGCTGGAAGCTGTCTCTCTTTTCGGGGTATGTCCTGAGACAACAATGGCCTTTTGGCGAGTGGAATGGCTCTGCAGTGGACAAGCCAAATGGCTAGCCACACACATCTGCACCAGCTGCACACACATCCGCTTTCTATATCTCCCATCTTCCTCTCTCCACAGAAGATGCCAACTTGGACAGCCAGATGTGCTGGCATTGCACATCTGCAGAAAAGTCTTCCATTTCCCATATACCTAGAGCTCTGCTTGCACTGCAGCAAAGCTGGGGAAATGAGATCCGAGAGCACATGGTGGAACTGAACTTTGAGAAGTGGGGCTGAAATCAAGGATACACTCCTTCTCTTTTTCCTGCACTCCTCATCCCCCCACAAAACAGCCCTATTTATATAATATTAGGTATAAAACTGAAGAGCTGGTCAGGCATCAGCCAAGCACTATATCCACTCACCCCACCCACCTTCAGAGAGAAACCTGGCCATCTGCAGCGGAAGAGAGGAGACTTGGGAGTCCAGATCCTTGTCTCCAGTTCCCTAATATATGCATGTTAAAAGGTATGAAACTTTGAGTAGCTTCAGAAAAAAGAGAATAAGACCCATGGTGGGAGTTTCATGGATAGAGAGTTCAAGTCAGCAGAAGGTAGAATATTTAACCATCAGGCTCTGCAACAATGGCACCGGCCCTCCAGAGGGCTGGGGGTAACTATCACCGAGGAATTAAGAGAGATTGGGATGCCAGCCTGTGGATGTGCACCATGTTCACTGACCAATGGGGAAGGGATGGGGAGGAGTAGATGGGTAGATATTTTATCCTATGATTCTAGAGACTACAGAATTCAAGGACAAATCATCTATCAGTGTTAACTATTCTATACAGCTCTGTAAGATTAAAACAACATCCTCCAGGAGGAAAACAAATTAGTTATGGGAAACTGTCCTTAAGTAACAAAATAAATCAGGTGGCAGGGAAGAACCCCAGCAGCTCCTGTGGATGGCATCTGTGGCCCCGAAACCTCTTTGGATACCAGTTGCCTCAGTTGTCCTGGTGAAGGTGATAATGAAAGCTACCGATGGGATTGTGGGGAGAAGAAAAGGACATAACAGATAACTGAATGTTTACTATGGGCGAGGGACTGTTTTAAATGCTTTGGTTATATTGCTTATATCCTACAACTGCTCATTTTATAAATACAGAAACACAGGCAGAGAAAATAAGTGAGTTTCTCAAGGCTGCACAGCTAGGAAGAGGGAGAGGAGAGTGAAACCCAAGAGATGTCTACACGTTGCACCCAAACACTTAGCACAGCACCTGGGTCACTGTGGGGCTCATGATGAGTATTATTACAGAGGCAACACAATATGGTTGTTGAAAGGGAGCGTTCTGCAGCCAGTCTATGTGACATCAGTCTATGTGACACCATACAGGAAACTGTTCTCTATACCTGGTGTTCTTATCGGTAAAATGGGCACAAAATGTCCATTTCATAGGGAGCTTCGGAGATTAAGTGATTTAATGCATGTTAAATGTTCAGAAGAATACCTGGCAAATAATCAGCGCTCTACAACATAAGCTAATACCACATAAACATGCTCTAGATTACACACACATCCAGGTGTTTAGTATGTCAATATAACACACTCTATGTTCATGTCTGTAATGTACACAAAGAGCAATCACTCAAAAGTCACAGCTTAGTGACGAGGCATCATTAATAGCCACTGACATCTTCTGGTTGCACAGTATCAGAGAAAGTTCATGTATTAGATTGCTTTGTGCTTAACCAGACTCCAATTGTACACAGGCCCTCAATTCCACTGGACGGCGGCAATTTTTCTACAGGAGGTTCTTGTCTGGAAACTCTGCCTCTCAGGTTCTCCTTGAACCTCAAGTGAAATTTCCCAGATTTGTATGAGTGAAGGAAAGGGACTGAGAAGAAATGGAATGTTTTCCATAGACTTTCTTCTGTACTAAGCTCTCCAAGAGACACCAGGGACTGGTTTGGGGGTGGACGCCTTCTATCCAAATCTGCAGAGCTGGTGGCCCTGCTGTCCTACCTAGTGAGCTTGGTGCCGATCTGCTGCCTCAGCTCCAGCCTCTCTTCATCTGTCTGCCTGGGAAGGATGTTCTTTTCTTCTAGCTCTCGCTTGGAGGGCCTGTTGCTGAGTTTGATGGCTAGGGAGTCCTTCCGGCACACCTTCATGGCCAGGGAGCCTGTGGGAGGGAGAAACGAGTTAATAAAGCTGACATCCACCTGTCTGGGCTCCCACAGGAACAAGGAGAAAGGCAGGAAGACTGGCTTCACACCTGAGAGTGGAGAAGGACCCAAAGGACACTTCCATAGAGTTCCTACAAGCAATATGTTGGGTACACCTCGCAGTGTTGAGAATGTGAGGAGCACACGGGAGCCTGTGATTGGATCTTGGCTCTCCAGGGACTGCCAGTATGCAGGCAACACCATAAAGGAGGGACAGACTGGAGATAGAAGCAAAGCGGGGAGAAAGGACAGGGGCCTTTAGTAACTAGAGGGAGCTTCACAGAGGAGGAGGGGCTGGCACCTGCAGGACAAATGAGATGCGCCCAGCAGCATGTTGGTGGATGTCTGCATATGGGAGAAGCTCAGAGGTGATAGATAAACCAGGTCATCACAGGAGACAAAAGAGATCAGTGACCATGGAGCTAGGGTCATGAAGGAAAATAAAGCTGGGCAGACAGTGAGGTCTGTTTGGGGTGAGAGTGGAAGTGAGTTCATTAAAATAGGCAATATTCTGGGATAGTTTTTCTTTCAGTGTAAGGAGTTCTGAGCAGCCAGCCAGAGCAGGGCTGCCTTCCATCTGGAATAAATCTATGGTTCTCAACCAGGGGTGATTTGGTTCCCGAGGGGACACTTGGCAAAGTCAAGAGACGCTTCTGATGGTCAAAACTGGGTTTTGGGGGAGGCGCTTCTCGTATCCAGTGGGCAAAAGCCAGGGATGCTATTAAATAACCCACAGTGCACAGGACAATGAAGTCTAATCTGGTCTAAAATGTCACTTGTGCTGAGGCTGAGAAACGCTGTTGTAAGACATTCACTTCTCTGGGCAGGAAACAGTGCCCAGGGCTGAGCAGCTGCTCCTTCCTTCCTGCGTCATTTGGGCCTTTGGCCGCCCCTTGTGCTCCTCTCATGGACATCATTGACCATGGCATTGCCACCAGGACTCTTACCAGCAGCAGGAGGAGATTGGGCAGCAGCAATTTTGGGTGATTCCTCTGGATTTTATTTTGTAGGCTAGTTCTCTCCCTCCCTCACTGGTTTTACAACATGGACTTTGGAATGAGACAGTGGTATCAAACCCTAGTGCTGCCCCTGAGTAGATGTGAGGCTCTGGGCAGGTCATGGGCCTGACCCTTTTCTTCCCCTCTCTGTAAACTGGGCCAATAATGTCCATAGTACCACGTGTTGTAAGATGTAGATAACAGAATAAAAATCTTAGCACGTGTCCAGGCACAGTATATATTCAGTGAAAAGTTGCTATAAGTTCATTTATTAAAAAATTAACTAAATATCAGTCTCTAATCACTTAACTAAAATGTATTGATTATTCATGGCCAGGATGACAGATTTTGAACTTTGCTTTCTTCATCTCTTCTCTCAGCACATTTGAAGGCCTAAGTAAGAAATTTTAATTCAGGCCTTCTAAATTTTGTTGAGGTCTGCTTAAAGTGAATTTGCTGCATACAGAATGGTGAGTCTGAGTATTATGCAGATTCAAATAGAATTTTAGGGTTCCTACCCCCTTTTTTGAGGGGGGGGGTTACATCTCAAGGGAAGCAGTCAAAGCATAGAAGAGGCATCTAAGTAGCAGGGGGCAGCATTATGTAATTTTTAGAGCTTTGGGGTTGTTCAGAGGACATTGATCCTTTCATTATACTCATGAAAACACTGAGGTCCTAAGAGGTTAATTGAGCTGCCCCGGGTCCCAGGGCCAGTTGACACCAGACCTCATTAGGACCACAGTGTTGGGCAGCTCCTCAGCACTCTTTCTATAAAGGCTCTGCCCCATCCCCACTGAAGAGCTGGATGCACTCACTGGTGTACAATGAGCTGTCATCATCCTCGTCTTCCTCCTCCTCCTCCTCTTCCCTTGTGTAGAGACAGGAAGAATCTTCGTAGTCTGAATCATGAGGCACATTTTCTTTATTGTCATCACATTCAATCACAACAGTTGGCACTTGTCTTATTTCTGGAAGGCCCAGAGGTCCTGCTTTTGTGATACCATCACCCGAGTGCAAACCGGAGCTGTGATAAGAAGTAGGGCAGGGGACTCGCTGCTCAGAGCTGTTCAAAGAGAAGGAGGAGAGAAGACAGTCACTTTGGCTAATGTCTATAAATGCATCAGAACCTTCTTAAAACTCAGTTGTCAGTGCCTAAAAGACAAAGGGTCTCTAGGGCAACTGAAGTTTCATTTCTCATCTTAAAGTTAAACATTTGAGGCCAGCAGACTTCTCTGAGGGTGGCAGCAGCACAGGGTAGGAGTAGAAATCCTTATTCCCTGTGAATGGATGGTGGTGTCACTGGCATAGCAATGAGAATGTTCCTGAGCTATATAATAAACACTTCAAAATAGTTAAAATGTAACTTTTTTGGTTCTGTGTATCTACAATTAAAAAACTAAAAACACAAAATTAAAAAACACATTTCATTCCATAAACATTTCTGGTTAAAAGTCATACCTCCAAGTGGCAAAGGAAAGTTTCTTTGCCACTGACATGTCTCACAGGAGGAGTAAAAGAATTAATCTGATGGAAAAGTTAGAGATCCAGAGAAGAGAAAATACATGAAGTTCTAGCTTTCAGAGTTCCACAGTGTGACTGGTATTGGCTGAGTGTGGGACAGAATGTTTGAAACTGTATGTATGGAGAGACTCAGGGAAAGAGAAGAGGTGGGACCACAAGGCTGGTGACTCATTCATGCACATCTGGGTGACGTGGTCAAGGATGACTTAGAGTTCTCTCCTCTCAGCAGCCACAAGCACCATAATCTGTTTTGTTGTTGTTGTTGTTGTTGTTGTTGTTGCAGGTTAGTTTTCCATGCAGCAATGGAAATGACATTCTTGATTTTCCCGTTTAAATTGAGCCAACTAAAATAAAATGTATTTTTAATGAAAAATTATTTGCTTCATAAATAGGATCCATATAAGTCCATTGTAGGAAAATTAGGAAATATGTTAACATAAATTTTTTTTTTTTTAAATAGACTCTATCTTAGGCTCCTAAAGCAATTTAGAATCCTTTTCATGACAGATTCTGAATGAAGTCCAGCAAGAATAATGGGCCAGAAACACAGCTGAATTTTATAATTCTTCTTCAGATTAATTGGAAGTGGGATTTATATCTTTTATTTAAGGAATTTCTAAAACGTAGAAAATTCAACACATTTACCATCCAAAAGTGTTTGATATTCATAAAATAATGGAGTGTGAAGTTATATATCAATGAATTCACATTAAAATATTTTTATACAAAAGAAAAATCTTATTCATGACATATGAATGCATGATAGTCTCCTTTGAAACTTTCATTTATGCTTTAAATTATTGCTATGTCTAATTTAAATTCAATTAACTTTCTTCCTTCCATTATTTCCTAAGTGCTGTTTTGCTCTTTATATTTTTCACATAACTCTTCGTGACACAAATGGAAAATCTAGTTAACACATTATGAGCTATGACATTCAAGGCAATGAATTCAATCAACTAGAAAAAAAGCCCTTCAACTACTAAGATTAAATCAAATATTTACAAAACTATATCATCTTATTAAACACTATCGGCCTGTTGCATGAAGATCATGCACTCAGGGTGAGGTGTCCCTCAGCCCAGCCTGTGCCTTCTCGGACATCTTAAGCCAGCAGTCAAACATTCTTAGCGCTGCCGTGGAGGTAGGAGAGGCTCCTGCTACTGCTACTGCCACTGTGCTTGCCAGCCATGAGCCAAGCTTCTGGCTGAGCTTTGCTCCCCCTGTGGGAGCGCACTGACCACCAGGGGGCAGCTCCTGCATTGAGCATCTGCTCCCTAGTGGTCAGTATGCATCATAGTGACCAGTTGTTCTGCTGTTTGGTCAATTTGCATATTAGCCTTTTATTATATAGGGTGAGCAGTTAAAGGGGTCCATTTTCCATTTAGTTCAATACAAATGGTCAAAAGGAAGGCAAAAACATGGTAGATGGTCTCTGGGTGACAAATATTACAGTTGACTGACTGAAAGGTGACTGACTGAGGGCACTAGTGCCCCACCTCACAAGGCACCCTCCTTCAGACAACCACACACACTGCATTCAAATTCTACTTGGGATTCCACACTGGGTATTAAAAGAAGCAGGGACAGAGGAGGCAGAAATGTAATTCTATGGCTCATGCTTTGCCCTACCTGTCTTCTCCTCTCCCTATTCTATAAATTAATTAACAATGGCTCCAACAAAGGCACAGAGCTGGGAATATTAGATCTGAGGGATGAAAAGCACCCAATAGATATTTATGTTTAAAGGGGAAAAGAGTTGGAAACCAGAATGTATGAATTCCTTAAGGCAAAGGGTCCCAAGTGCCTCAAGAGGACTGAGAAAGGAGAAATATGCAAAGAAAGACAAAACAAAAATAAAAAACAAAAAAAACCCACAACCCCACAGCCTTACAGGCAGCTGTGATCAACAGGGCCCTATGGTTTCTCTTCTCTCAAAGACATGAGGGAGTGTGAGTCTGAGTAGAATGGGATTGGAAGGCTGATCCCCCAGGTGCTTAGGCAGGTACTAGGTATCATGTAACCTACTAACTTTGTGAAATAGGGACCAGCCATGGTGATCAGCCACTGCCTGTGCAGGCAGTATAGACCCAGCTGGCACCTCACCTGGCCACTAAGTTCATCTTCCTGAGTTGTGACTCTAGAACATGATAGAATGTCTACTTTCTGGCCAGCATGGTTCAGTGGCTGAGTATTGACATATGAACCAGGAGGTGAAGCTTTGATTCTTTGTCAGAGCACTTGCCCAGGTTGCAGGCTGGTCCCCAATGGGGGAGGAGGTGGGTGGGGGCTGTAGAGATAGCCGATCAAAGGTTCTCTTTCATTATTGATGTTTCTATCTCTCCCTCTCCCTTCATCTCTAGAAGAAGAAAAAAAGGAATTAAAAAAAAAAAAGAATGTCTACTTCCCCATAATAGTGAAAAGAGTGTTTTCTAGGAAGCTAGGTGAATCCATCAAAAAGGGCTTTTAAATATTCTATTCATAAATACCCGTTGACGGCCAACTGTGAGGGGAAGGAGGACAAACAGCCAGATGTGCTCATCTAGCTGGCGACTCTGGAGAAGCACAAGAGAGCAAGAAAAGACAGATGTGAGTGATGGGTTGGCTGAGGAGGAGGTTGGGAGTTGATTAAGCGACCTCAGATTCAAAAGTTAGATACAAATCTGACTCCAAATTTTGCCACATACTATTGGTCAAATTATCCATGCCCTTATGGAGACCCTCACTTGTTCTTTATAGAAATGGCTTTCCAAATGGTTTCAAGACATCTCCCAGTTTGTCTAGTTTCCACACCTCTGTCAGAGCAACTTTCTAAAACTCAGATCTAGTCTCACCGTTAGAACTCTGATTGCCTGCCCTATCTCCAACTACTGCTTCAAGGGTGACAAATGGGAAACCCAATGAACACATCATGAGTTATACTATTAAAGACAAGGAACTCAATGTAGCCCCTTATTCCACTTGGCCTCCACCCTGGTTGTGGGCAGGAAGGGGAACACGCAGCTGAACATCAGTCTTAGCAATGCGGGTTTTATACACTGGAGTTGTCACTTAGAAGGTGTTGTCTACTATGTAACAGGTCTCACTGCTAAAGAAAAGTAAAAACCCAGAAGCAGTCATGCAATGTCTCACACAATTTGGCCCATATTATGAACACAGCCTCTGTCCCCATACAATTTACCCCTTGATCATGCACAACAATGCATTGCATACTCTTGACTTGGAATGTGCTCCACCCCACCTTCACCATAATTTCTATTTACCTTTTCATAACTGGCTCAGGCAACTTGTTGCCTATATTCCTGGAAATCCTGCAATAGTGAAAATTGGGAACATCTCTTTGCTCGTTTGCTTTCCTTCCCAACCACTCTGCAGGCTGTGTGAGGGCTGGGACCACATCTAATTCATGTTTATAGCAGATGCCTCACTCCATGCCTGACACAAACTGGACACTCAGTAATTGCTCACTGTTTTTTCAGAATGAAGGAAATATGGGCCGTGATCATTGATACTCAGGTGCAGTTGTAAGTGGTTGACAAATCATTTTACAGGGTATTAATTAAAAGATCTGTTCTTTCTTTTCAGGGAGGTGACTGGTGGTGTATTGCAGGGCTGCGGGTGTCTCTGACTTGGTTACCAGTGTTATCAATGGCTTTAATGATGAAAAAGGCATCTTGGTCTAATAGGTGGAAGAACTGAGATAGAGAAGGAAAGGAGGGAATGAACAGAGTGAACATTTATTGAACGTGTTGCCTACTGTTTTAGAAGTGTTCACATCCAGCATCTCATTTCATCTTTCTAATAACTCTGCAGGAGAGGTGTCATTATCTCATTTTATTAAGCAGGAAATAGAGGCTCCAAGGGGGCAATAAACAGGTGCATGAGTACACTGGGAATAAAGAAAGAAGAGAATCTGAACCCACTTTGTTTCAATGCATTATATACCAAAACTGAATTATGCTACTTGTAAGATTGTGTTCTTTGATTCCACACAAACCCCACTAATTGTACACACGTGAGGTGAAGAGAATGAACAACACGCGTAAAAATGGGCATTATTACTTTTTAAATATTTTAAATCTTGCTTGCCAGAGTAAGTAATAGTGTTTCACCCTCCCCACTCCCCCATGGTCAGGCCATTCCTGGGGCACAGAGTTTAAAGGGTTCATCTTAGACACTGGATTATAATGGTCAGGAGGTGGGAGCAGTCACTTGCTGGTCTATTGTCATGGCAGAGTTGAATACATATCACAGATCATCAAATATTTACTATCTTGTTTTTATAGAAAATATTCTCTGACTTCTGGTCTAAACCAGGATTCCTAACCCTTGATCATAGCCACACTCCTAAGTGTGTTTTTGGTCTGTGCCAGATTTGAAGCCCATTTAGACTATATTTACGTTGTATTTTAAAATCAACACTTAAAAAAACTTAAACACTAATTTAGCCTCATCTTAAGCAATAATATCTTTGTAATCAAAGGCTTCATATGCAACATTGTGCTTATAACTTACAGTTAAGTTAAATGACTACTAAAACTT